GGGAACTAGAAGAAAGAATCAACAACTGGGATCTCATCTTATTAAAAAGCTTCTGCACTGCAAAAGAAACCATCAGCAGAACTAAGAGACAACCTACAATGTGGGAAAAAATTTTACCAGCTGCTCCTCAGACAAAGGACTATTATCTAGAATATATAAAGAACTCAAAAAAACCAGTCCCCCCCAAATATAAAGACCCAATTCAAAAATGGGCATCCGAAATGAACAGACATTTCTCAGACAAAGAAGTAAAAGCAGCAAGTAAATATATGAAAAAATATTCCACATCACTGTTCATTCGAGAGATGCAGATGAAAACAACACTGAGATTCCACCTCACCCCACAAAGAATGGCTGCTATCAAGAAATCACACAATAACAAATGTTGGCGCGGTTGTGGGGAGAAAGGAACCCTTCTCCATTGTTGGTGGGAGTGCAGACTGGTGCAACCACTGTGGAAATCAATATGGAGATACCTCAAAGAGCTTGGACTGGAGGTTCCATTTGACCCAGCCATCCCTCTGCTGGGTATCTTTCCAAAAGAACTAAAAGAATCATATCACTGTGATGTATGCACACCCATGTTTATAGCGGCACAGTTTGCAATAGCTAAAACTTGGAAACAGCCCATTTGCCATCAGCTGGAAACTGGATAAAGAAGATGTGGTTTTTCTATAAAATGGAATATTACTCAGCCATAAAGAGAAAATAGATTCATTCATAGGAAAATGGATACATATTGAAGATATACTCCTAAGTGAAATAAATGAGTCACACATGTGTAAACACCGAGTAGTTTCTCTGGTCTAAATAAACTGCAATAATACATAAGATCCTAATTAGATTACTGACATTGTGAAATGGGAAAAAAGGGGCTATAGGTGTAGGGAAGGTGGGATGGATGGGGAAGGGTAATAAGGAAAAAGAAAAAAATGTGAGATAATGAAAAGATGGAAATAAAGTGCTTGCAGATGGGGAGGGGATGAGGGGTGAAGGGAGGGCAGGGACAAGGGAAAAATGAGAACCAAGACCTGTCATGTAGAGGTACCAGATTCCAACAATGAATGTAACTGTACTGTATCCCTAAAATGTACCAATAAACTTAATTAAAGCTGAAAAAAAGAAAAGAAAAATTCTGCATCAAGGGCTGGGGATGTAGCTCTGCGATGCCCTGCCTGCCTGACAAGCGCAGTCAGCTCAATCCCTAGTACCAAAGGGCGGGGGGAAAAGGAAAAATCCTATATTCTTTTTTTTACATCAGATCCGTTAAAACAACTTAAGCAAATGTTTTCTCCAAATCCAATGGATTAGAAGTAAAATCTACAAATTACTCTATACTACCACCTGCAGAGCAAAATTTGATCCAGCAGGTATTCTGCATAAAAAATAAAGAAAGAAATAGCACCTTCTCCTATGAGCTCTTAGATAATAATTTGGCTGTGAGTCTTGCTCAGCTTGCTCAATAGGAAACCTTTACCAACCAATTTTTGCCTATATTTTGTATTCATTATTTTTAAAAAAGTCTTTTCCATTGAATAGTAAAGTGAGTCACTAGTTTCCATGATTTGCATTTTCCCAAAAGCATCTCTTTGACAAAGGTCTTACTTAACCGATGAGAATTACACTAAGGCCCAAAGTGACTTTACCAAGGGTTACACAGTAATTCCAAAGCTGCAATTAACACCAACAAACAACTATTTCCTTAGTCAGAGTAAGACCCAAAGCCAGAGGATCAAAGAGGTAGGAGGCAAGCCAGGATAAGGAAAGGCAAGTAAGAGTGGAAGCAAGATAGAGAGAGGTACAAATCATTCTGTATACGAATGACATCCATAGACCAGAGTCATAAGATACGCTTCTAGTCCTGGCTACCAGTGCCATGGGTTTGCGTGATTCATTTCATGCCTGTGAATCAACTTCCTCCTCTATAAAATGAGGAGGACAAAGGTTAAAGTAGGTAACCTTTAAGGTCCTTTGTGGTCTAAAGTCTTATGAAAGAGACTGTGAACACAACACAGAACTTAGAGATCAAAATGCAAAGCCAAGTGGCTGAAAAATGGAGAATAAAAAACTCCAGACTAAAAGAAACTGCGACATACAGGCAGAGTAGAGCTCAAACAGGAAGCCCTTTATTCCCCTTGGCTGCCAAGAGCCAAGGCACAGCCAAACCAGGGACCTGTGGCACAAAGACTGTGACAGGTGAGGCCCTTGCCAGGCCAGGCAGCCACTCCACTGCCACTTGTAGGAGATAATGGTGCCCTCATCCACCCTTTCTTCAGAGCAGAGGACAGCCAGGGTCTGCCCTATGGAGCTCAGAATGCCACAGACCAAAACGCTCACCCAGACAAATGGCCAGGGCGTGAAAGCAAGGCAGTGTCTCAATTCTAATCATCTTTGCTAGGAATTCATGCTGATCTCCACAGCATCAGAAAGAATTATGTACATGAACCCATTCTATAGCATATATGAGGGATTTCTCTTTTTTATTGTGGAAAAAACATCACTACTTTCTGCCCCACTTCCAAGGATATCCTGGTCTAAAACTATGTCGATGATGCTTCCTGGCACGGCCCAAGTATTTACAGTACTGTCCCCTCACTTGTAAAATGATGAGGATGATAAGTGTTTCAGTGTGTATGAGAATTCAGCATTTGCACAGTGTCCAACCTGGCACATAGTAAAGACAAGTTCAATACGGTTAGCTTATTTGTTGTCATTAGTGTTACTCTTCGACAAAGAAAGAAGCAAAAACTTGGCTCTATTCTTCTCACTCTTTCCATAGAGAGAAATAAACTAATCAAAACCTATAAATACAATTTATTAGTTCAGAAAAACCAATTTAGGAAATTGTATCTAATAAGTTGAGCCTCTAAGTAAAATTTCATTAACAGGTACCTATGAGTCTTCACAGATGAAATCAACTGCTCCTGCGAGCCTGCAAAATGCTGGAGCTACCGGGGTGGTGTTTACAGACACAGAAAAGGGAGAAATGGGGCAAGGGTTGCTTTTTGCTGGTTCTAGAAGATTCCAGTCCAAGAACCAAGATACATCATGTAAAGGTACAAGATCCCAATGATGAATTGAACTGTATTGTATACCTAAAATGTACCAGTAAACTTAAAAAAAAAAAAAAAGATTCCATTCCAGTCCACTTACAAAGTTATCACCCATTAACAGGAAAGTGAGAAGTGAGTACGTTTTAACTACAGAAACAAGTGTATTACACAGTATTCTACCTGAGGAGGGATGCCAGAGATCTGAAAATGCCTACAGAGCAACCAGCAGGAAACACTTTATTATTATTAAGTTTCCAACAGATGGATTTCAGACTGTTTTCACACACTATTTCAGATAATCACATACACATATACTATTTAAAAAACCAAAACTTTAAAATGTGTATTTGGGATGTTATGAACCAAGCTTGAACATACCAAAGACTAACACATTAATTCATTTTGAGCTTCTCCTGCTACTAGCAATTAACCAAACATTTAAGTTTTCAACCAACTGAGCAACTTCACTGAGCTTTTTCAGCTTCCACTTTGAAATTTCTTAAAAAAGTTTATCACAGATTTAGCAAAAACAATTTGGAGCCCTCTAGGGTAAAACAAAAGAATCCAAGGATCTAAAATATAAAGTTTTTCTCATAGTTCAGGATTCTAGACCTTAAGAGTAAAGAAATCAGCACTTCTGTTTTTCCTTCTCATTCCAATTATAAGCAATGT